ATTTGTAATCATTTTATTTTGTTTCTTTGTTTCGCCGCTCAAAAGCTGCACGAGAGAAATTTCCCAAGTTGTCTCTCTTATTCACCGCAACTTTCCTATGGCTCTTCTCTTAACAGAAGTCTTCTTTAATTTATTTATAAATTATAATTTGTTATAATTCTATTTAATTTGTATTTAATTTGTTTGTAAATTATAATTTGTTATAATTTTATTTAATGTATATTTAATTTATTTATTAATTTTTATTTTGTTATAATTTTATTTAATTTATGTTTAATTCATTTATAAATTATAATTTGTTATAATTTTATTTAATTTATGTTTAATTTATTTGTAAATTATAGTTTGTTATAATTCTATTCATAATTTGTTTGTAAATAAAATAGTGGTTTTATTATAACTTATCTCTAATTGTCCTTTCTATTTTTTTTTTCATTTCGCTTTCTATCTTTTCTTATCGTGTTTAGCAATAAAACTTAAAAAGAATCGTTGAAAATAGATGTTTCCAAATTGCGAAGCGAAAGAATTTCGTTCCGTACACGATCGCTAGCCAAGGCATGTGGTTTCACTCTTTATTTGATAGTAAAATAAAAGGAATGTCGTCGTCTAAACCGTAAATTTTTTTTGGAATATTTTTATTGTATAGTTAAATGCATTTACAAACACGATATAATGCACTTGCATTAGTTTAATTTTAGTTTACTTACCGATACTTTACGTAAATTTAATAATAAATCTACAAAAACACAGAAAACAAAAGTAAGCATAAATCGTGATATTTTTGGGGAAAAAATTTTCGAGTACTCATCCTCAAGAAAAAATCCTTACAGTGTCAGACAGTAAATCTGTCTTATTCGCTTTACAATCATTTCTTTTTCGTTTCATTTATACCCTTTATTTCCACAAATAAATAAAGTTCCTTAATTTATCAATTGCCGACTCAGATGTGACATTATTTGCCCTACTAACATGTTGATGTTTAATTACACGAGATGTAATGATCACTTATTCAAAACTGATACAGTGAACAGCCCTTTCTATATCTGTGGGATCTTGCAATCTCTCAATGATATCCTGTTTGTCTGTCCGAATAATTCCATTTCTTATTCGCTAATCCATATTTCGCAAATTGAGTACAAGCAGTCGTCACAACCGCAAGATGATTAAAAAAGATATCCCTACAAATTCCAGTGCAATGTTTGAAGAAGGCAACGGCAACGGCATGTCATCGGCGGCTAGCAGGGAATAAGATACGCGGTTGAGCTTCAAAATCTTATTAATCTTTAATTCTTTAATATTTTTAATTATAACGAAGTTTTCTTTTATAAAGTTTCTGTAATAATTGCAAAATGCTACGAATCTTCTTATTTCGTCTGTATTTTTGGGTTGGGGGTAGCTTTTTATTGTTTCGTACTTAGCGGGGTCTGGTTTTATGCCTTCGGGTGTTATTAGGTGTCGTAAATAGGTTCTTCTAGGTTGTAGAAAGTTGCATTTGGGTGGGTTTACTTTTAGGTTGTATTTATTAAGTCGTTCTAGTACTTTCGTTAGGTTTCTGTTGTGATGCTCAAAGCTACATCCGTGTATTATTATGTCGTCTATGTATAAAAATGCTTCGGTGTCTAGTCCTGATAAAGCTTTAGTTAGCATTCCTTGAAAACTGTTGGGCGAAATTTTATGTCCGAATGGAAGTCTCGTGTACTGATAATGTCCGTTTGGTGTTGAAAAGTCGGTTAAAGGTCGCGGGTTTTTGTTAAGTTTTATTTGATGAAATGAGTTTGTCATGTCCAAGGTGGAGAAATATTGTCTTCTAATCTTGTGAAGGGAGTTTTGCCGTTTATTATTTTCTCGTTTAGTTTTCTGTAGTCAAGTACTATTCGCCAATTCTTTAAGTCTGTCTGTTTTTTTTTTTGGGTACTAGTAAGAGTGGTGAGTTATTGGGGCTAATTGATTGGGTTAAAAGTTAATAAAAAAAGAAAAAAAAAATTAAAAAAAAGAAACACAAAAAACAAAAGACGCAGCCAATATCATTTACTTTATAGTTATTATTAATTTAAAACTTACATTTAATTTAGTTATAATATGGAATTATTATTTATAATTTGAAGTCATTGTAAAAAGATGTAAAAAATATGTATTTAATAAATTGAATTTAAAAAAGTAAGGTCGTTTTTTCATTTTTCTTTAATTTGTAAGTTATTTAAAGAAATTTTTATATACCTCCGTAACACGGAGGTCTATCAGCATGTCGAAGAAGTCATTAATAAGAAACCAAAAGCAAAATATCATTGTTTTGTATAGAATTAGAGCTTCGCCTTGTGAATTGGTCAAATTTTTTAAAAAGACAATGCGAAGTCATCAGTAGTCCTATTGATCAAATTCAATTTGATAAGCGGCTCTTAAGGAATATGAAATTTGCTTCTGTTTAAAAGCAGAAGTATAGGCGAATCAACCCAATTTTTTACGCCGGCTATGCCAGGAATGTTAAATATGGGAATTGAGCGAGGAATCATCGCTAGTAACATAGAAGTTCGGACATACGAACTCTACGCCCCCATGACAAAATTTAGTTCAGTTTTCGATGACAGCGAAATCAACAGCACCAATTGACAGGCCCAAATAGCAGAGCTGGAAACAGTCAAAGAACACCTCAATACCACCTTGAGGCGGACCTGCTAGCGGGCGACACCGCGCAAACAATCAACAGATATATGGAATTAATGGATGGGCTGCTTGAGGAGTACCCTGGTGAAACGATTCAGTCCTATAGGACAAGCCAAGACATAATGGAATGGTTCTTCTGTAATATGGCGCCAACGCCCAGAAAAAGGACCAGATCAGCGATAAACGTAATGAAGCTTATCAAACTCCTAATTGAACTTCAAAAAAATTTTTGGGGAAGCGGACGATCTACCACAGATGATTACCATCTTGTAAACTTGTTGGACGGAAAATATGGCCGAAGAAGATTTTCTACCATTCGGCGTAGATGGTGTGATATTCGACGATGTAGTCACTGGCCAACCAACTAGCAATGAGGAGGACTACATTTGGCTACTCACGGGCTAGCCGAGTACATACACGAGCAACTGCATTGCCAAGCATGCCGCATGACTTGGCCAGCGAAACCCACCAATATCTAAAACCCGGATTTGCAAAGCCTGAAATATATGACGTATTTCATAACGCCTGCAAGTTCGTGATGATGTACCATATAGCAGAAGAAAACATCGGCAAGCGCCTGCAGGCAACAATACTAGCACGGGTTGCCTTCTTCAGGGAAGCAGGCTCCTGCACCGAACAAATCTGATAGGCTTCATAATCGATTTGCAACTGACGGGGGTAAACTAGGTCCAAAAAACTGTGAAAAATGTGTCATCGTTTTGAAAGAACATCGGGCGGAAAATGTAGCAAAGTAAAGGTAATTAAAATTTTATATGAATTCTTATAAAATACTTATATTTTGTTTTCTATTTCAGGATAGGAAAGGTACGCCCACGAAATCGGAATGCAATAGAGAATCGGACTTAGAGAATCACAAATAAACGGTAAATCAAATATAATAGAAATAATTAGTATATTTGCAACTTGCGTTCAAACTTTTTGGTTTAGAGTAAAGAAGTCCGCCCGCAAAATCAAGTCCAGCTCTCTGGTCGCCGCCTCGCCCCCTCATATTGACGAAGATTCGCTACATGCCAAAGGTAAGTTTGCATTTATCCTTACTTATTCTTATTTATAATTTATTTACTTACTTCTATTTCATTTTAGATTAAAACCAAGCATATACCTCCACTCATCGCTTCAGCAGAATGCGATACTTCTTACATACGCCGCCACTTCTGCATGGGATACTTCCGCAGGCCAATGGTAAGTGTGGTCTTTATATATAAAATTTATTAATCACAATATCTTTCTTTTGCAGATATCAGCACACCGGCATAGCAGCAATTTTTATTTATTTATATTTTTTTTTATGGATTATGTGTGTATGTTATGTATCATTATTATGTATATTTAGCGGGGATTTTATTTATTAGGCAATGTTTTGTATTATTTCGTATTATTATGCGTTATTATTATTGTAAATATTGTGTTATTATAGTTTTAGGTTAAGTTTATAATGATGTGAGCCCACTGGGGAGCCAGACATTTAGAACAATTGGCACGGTACCTCTAGGGAGGTGTGGAAAACCGTCCCAGGGTCTTAACTATTGCGCTGCAACAACCTTGTCAATTTGAGGATTCATTGCAACGATCCTATTGTATTGATTTTTTGGATAAGTCAAGTTGTTTCACAGTTGTTCACTTTGTACGCTGCCTTGATGAAGACTTACACAATGTTCCAGGAAAAACTTTAATAATTGTGCTGTTAAAGACGTGGCGCCAGCTTCTGTGATTGCGTTAACCCGAAAAATACCTTATAAGTATGATGGGTTCAATATGGGTTCAACAGTAGATTTCAAACAGAAGAGCTTTTTTTATAGATCGAAGCCAACAGAAAAAGCTGCAAAGAGTAATTTAAAGTGCGATTAGAAAAGAGAAAGACCTATGCTCAAACCTCATGTATTTAAATAAAACTTATGTACAAAAGGAAAAGCTTGCCAATCTTTTCGTTATTTTCTTCTACTGTTCTATATTTCCTATTGCTATAGAAAACTTTGAATATTTATATTAACAGCAACGTCCACGTGGACTAAATTGACGTTTTCAATAATAAACGCAAATTATTTCTTTATTTGTGATTTGGCAAATATGATGTAAAATATTTAGAAGCAAGAAAAAGGAAATGGCCCTATTACCTATTTGAAATAAACTGTGGTAATTATGGATAAAACACGTGGAGCTTGAGTTTTAGTAGTCCTGCAGCAATTGTCAAATTCTATTGTTAAAACCTCTACAGTAAGAAGAGAGAGGTTATATGGGCAATGTGTGCTTAATATGAGGGAACGAAAGATGCATAAACAATTTTAATTGTTTCGTTTTATTCTTTAGAGAGCATAATCATGTCTGGTACCACGGCCACTACACGTACAAGAAAGTTTATGATAAATTGTCTGCTATGCCGCAACCAAATAGTCTGCGATGTCATTTATTCGGGCCTTTCATCTGTGAGCACAACTGAAATTCGTGAAAAGTTAGCAGCCATGTATAAGGTAACGCCGGATGTTTGCTTCGTTTTCGGATTTCGTACCAATTTTGGTGGCGGACGCTCAACTGGATTTGCCTTAATCTGTGATACTTTGGATTTCGCTAAGAAATTTGAACCGAAATATCGTTTGGCCCGGCATGGGTTATTAGAAATTAAAAAACAGACTCGTAAACAGCGCAAAGAACGTAAAAACAGAATGAAGAAGGTGCGTGGTACCGCTAAAGCGAAGATTGGTCGAAGCGCCAAGAAATAAATACAACCAGCATATTATTATGCTGTGGATATGGAATTAAGGAGTTTTGAAATTAGAACATTTGTTTTGTATTTTAAGTAAATAAAAAAGTAAACAAAGTGAAATTCCAATAATGTTTGAAGATTCTGTCAAGATATTGAACGTAAATCAATATTAATGAATAGAGCCAGTTATTTGAATTTTTCTGCTGTCTGCTTTTATGCATATAGACATGCATGAATTCACCACCATAATGAGAGTTTAATAGATTTATTATCTAGTTTGTCATCCAGAAACTATGAGTGGAGAAATTTGGAGTCTTTGTACTTTTCTATATTTTCTTGGTTTGTAATTTCGACAACAAATTATTAAGAAGACAAATCTCAAGCTCAAGTTCTTATCAGGAGTTTTCAATAAAGCCGATAGCCTTAGGTGCTAGTGCTTTAACACTTTAATCTTAGATTTTATTCTCCGGCTAAATTAGTAACAATAATAATCTTAAGAGGAACAAATAAGTACACCTCTGTTCGAACCGAAATGTGGGTATTTCAAAAAATGTATGGAAATGTCCCAGGTTTGTTTTGTATGTACTCAGGAAGAGAATGCATAGCATGTTAGAGTTCTGTAAAAACATATATATATGTAAATTTTTAAATTCTTTACCGAAAAACAAGAATTTGGTCATATATGAGAGTAATTCAAAAATAGTCTGGTCGTATCTGAGAGTAAGCGTCTGTGCTAACTATCTGAGAGTAAGCGTATATGTTTGTTTACAGTTCTCAATAATTTATTTTTCTATGAAGAGAAAAGTTTCAACAAAGAGATGGATGCTTACATTATCATTGTTGCCGTTTCTGTTAGAATAAATCTAATGTGAACATGAAGAGAGAAGACGTATAAGAAGCCACATTCACAGCACGAACATGTTGAGCATTCACAAAGAAATTAAAAGAGAAAAGAAAATTGCCTTTGAAGGAAAAATGTGTTGGCTTTTTCTTGCTAGCGTTTTTGACAAATCTAACGCAACTAGGTTTCATTTTAGATGAATTATTATTTGTGGTTTTCTTCTGTATTTCCCTATTTTAATTTTAAAAACAAGACGTGGCAGCTCTTTCAGCTGTTTTGCTATAGCAATTATCATATAAACAAACATAGTACTTATTTCACATACCATAGTCAGTGAAAACTAAACAAAGTGAGGAGCTGAAAATAGACATCATGTAAAAATAACTGTATTTGTATGCGTATCTATAGTAACTGCACTAACTTAAAGTTTATAATTCGTAAAAATGTTCGCTTTTATTACAGAAGCTATCGGGCTTACAACGCGTAGCTCAGCGCAGCAGTTTACTGAAAAAATAATGAAGGGCTATAAAATTACTGATAATGAACGTTCTAAGAAATATGGCATAGGCTCTAATTCTCTGCAGATGCTAAAAAATAAGGCGAAAATCAAATTTCCTGTAAGTGTTCCATATATAGAAAAATTAAAGCAATTTTTATTTATGTGTATTGCAATGTTATGAACATGGGTGGGAAAATGACCTTGACTATGAAAAGAAAAGTTTCAGGGTCGCGTAAAGTGTTGTATGTATTCCAAGGTCATTTGCTCAAAAAAGGAAGTCAAATTAGGGATACAAAAGGAGGTAGTATGTATATGGAATATAAAGTGTATGTCATTTACTTCAACATTTTACGCAGAACACCTGTTGGGTTTTGAGTACGTTTCCCATACATAGCAAGAGCAAGTTCAAAAAACTAATTTAGATGAATTCTATTACTTGTATTAGTTGATCAAGTTAATCAAGTATAAAAATATTTGCAAAAAATGATATTAAGGAAAACGGGAAAAATATGGAGTATCTAATGAAACATCATTTAAAACATTAGGTATTTTTTAGAGAAAATTCCAAATAGAATTATGGTGTGGTATACTTTACCTAGAAATAAAAACAGAACAGAAATTGAAATGTATAACCTCTATAATACTTTGGAAGAGAACTTTGTTTATTAATATTTTTTATTTTAATATATTTATATAGTACAGATATACTTTTATGTTTAATAATTTTCAATTTTAATTTTATTATTATTGCTAATTTAGCCAAAAAATAAATGTTGAGGCAAAAGCCTTAATGCACATTTTTCAATTATATTTATACATTTCAAAGATTAAAGATGTACGCCTATATTTAGCTGCGGATGGCTGTGAGGTAACAGATGAAGACTACTTTTCTACTTTAGAGCCGCAAACTTTGTTCGTAGTAGCTGGTCCCGAGACTATTATAACAACAGGTATATTGTAATATTTCAGTTTTATTGATTCTGTCTTTACGTTGGAATTTTTGCAGATGGCGAGTTTCAATTCGAGCAACTTAAACAAAGATCTCCTCTCTTACGTGTCGCAGATATTGTTCATGATTTTATGGAACAACATCCGCAAAAATTTCTCAAGATGGTTTCGGATTATGAAAAGTTAAAGAAGCCTAAATTAGATCATTCTAAAACAAATTTAAGTTTAAAAAGCGAACACAGTGAATGGTTTCTTGGTCTAGAAGAAAGATGTCATACTAAAGAGGAAGCTCTCTCGCGACGAGCTCAAGATCGTGTTCGCGGTTATTACTATAAAACTAAAGATGAACTAACGCGGAACATAATTTATCGCCAAAATTTAAAAGCTCGTCGCCTTATCGATGCTATACTGGAGAAATTTCGTTATCTGCTTATAGGTTGTGATTACTTTTCCATGATTTTTGATCGTGATTGCAATCGTAAGCACGAATTTCTCCAAAAACAACTTGATGATGAAACAGATGCTCGCAGTGTGGTGCCCAGCAAGAAGCTAAAGCAAATTATTAAAAATTATACCCTCAAAAATCAGATTCTTGATAAATGGACGGTTTCCCTATGCTCCAATTTGGGTGATTTTTATTGCCAAGGGCCTTTTTCGGATAGTACTAACAATTGCTCACTAAATCATACCATTAATCCTTATGCTTCTCGAGAAAATCTTATATTGTTCCAAGTTTGGAATCTCGACCATCAAATTGAATTGTCTCGCACTATTCTTCCTGCTTTGCTAGAGAATGTTCGTACGCTAATTACTATGCCTAAACGTTTGTGTGATCTGCATAACGGGCAACTGGTTGATGTCTCAGTACTGGAATATTTTTTGGAAATTTTCTCACTGAAAAATCTCAAATTGGTACACATTGTTTGTCACGAGAAAGTGCAAAGAACCAATAAATCGAACGGCCGTTTATTGTGTGAACAGTGTCATGAATATCAAATTGTTCAAGCGTTAATGGACGTGCAAGTGGATAAAGAGGCAGCGAATTTTTAAAAAATCGAGCATTCAGGGAACATGTGAATTTGACCGTAAACTATACGAATGCGCAATTTGATGACTAATATCTATTCTAGAGTACCTGATCCAACAACTGTGTATTAGTCGACTTACCTTAAATCGTCATCATTGACAACTAGAAAAAATTTTATGTGATGTTTATTGAGTAGAGGGTCACTTATGACTCTCTGCCTTCCTTCGGCTCGAGCTTTTTTATTGCCCGCATTGTTTGTGTGCCTTGAAAGAAGTGCACTCTAAAACTGATTCTATATATAACTTTTCCGATATACTTAAATTTCTATTTGTAATAAGAACTGAGAGTCGCCTCTATTGGAGAATTTGTTAAATCATTTTTAAGAAAAAATTGCTTTATATGTTCGCGGGTTTGTACGCGATGTGATGCAGAATAACGTCAATGCCACGTCATCCACATTTTAAGGGCAATTTTTATTAATTCATTTTTATACCTACCACTGCAAGATGGGGGTATACTCATTTTGTTTTTCCCCATAATGTATGTAACACCCGTACAAAAGGGGGCTTCAGAGGACCCTATAAAGTACATACATTCTTGATCAGCGTGAAATCCTGTAATGTCCGTCCGTCTGCGTGTCTGCGCGGTGTGTTGTTGGCATTCTCATTTTCGCAAAAATGAAGATATCAACTTCAAATTTGGTAAAAACATTGGAAGTTTACAGAAACGCAGGTTGGTGTTGAAAGTGGGCCAAATTGATCAGAGCAGAAGCGAGCAGAGGAGCGTAAACTGAACGTAACTTAGTTTTTACTAACAAAAATTTCTGGGTTTCTGCTCGTTGCTGAGAAATTATAAAAATTAGAAGGCTGATAATTTCTACAATTACTTTACGAGACACTTTACTCTCTAGGTCCAAGAATGGAAAAAAATCGGTCATGACCACACAAAGTTGCAAGTGATTAAATTTTATTCTTTTCATTTTTTTGAACTTTTATGCTTATTTATCATAAGGCAAACAACACAAAACGTTTAAAATAATTTTGTGCACTCCCCACAAGAAGATATATTATCTGCCTAAAATTGGGTTAATTTCAAAGTGAATATGGTAGATACCGCGAATAATTTTTTCTTAATACCAGCGAAATGGGTATCGAATAAAAGAACTTGGAGAGTAGAATGCGAAAAGCATAGTGGTGGGTATTGCGAGATTCGGCCCCCGGCGAATATAACCTTCTTACTTGTTATATCTCAATCTTAATATAATAATAAGATTAATCATTTAAAGTTGCCGTAAATGTTATAGCATACATAGTATGTATAAAATAATATTCTGACTGCCTTCACATAGTATATTTAACTAGATTTCGAATGTCATAATTAATTCGAAAAGAATATGCTTAGCATGGAAATTGTTAGCGTCCGTTAATGTGTTAAACTATTTTTTTTTAATTTATAAATATTATGATTATTTGCATTTACTTTGTTGCTTAATCGACGTCGAATGTTCCTTTTTTTAATTTGCATCCTTACCAGCTCTTCAAGTCTTAGCGCAACTAGTGAAAAAAGTTAACTAAAACAAAAAGAATTTAAATGTTGTTTAAAATATATATATATACGTATACATACATATGAAAAAAAAAAGAATATAAGAAAGAAAGCCAGTAGAATTAAGGTCAAGGAATATTAATCAATGATATCATGTATAAAAAACACCATAGCTCAACTAGTGATTTCTCAGTTTGTAAATAGAATACACACCATGGTGAATGGTGAATATTGAATACTAAAGTCGAATAGTGTTCCTAAGGTTGATAAGGTTGATATTTGAAAGTATTGAGTTAATTAAGAGACTTTTGTGCATAAGATGTTGGGAAAATGGAAATTTACATAACCAAAATCCTAACCAAAACATTACATATAAAAACGTTTATAAACATTTTTAAACATGAACCGAACTTGCAGAGTGGTTTCATATTCCTTGTAGAAACCGCAATACAAAGTTCGCCCTACGTAAAAAACTGAACATCTGTATCTTTTTTTTAGTTTTGTAAGGGACTTTATTACACACAGATTTCATTAATGATTAAATGCCAACTGTAGAAGAAGTTCGTTTTGAAAGGTTTTCTTAATATTATCGAGTTCGGAAAACTGAGAAAATGTAAACGACGAGTTTGTTATTTTTGCCTTCATCCGAGTCTTCTTCAGCCCTCAAAGAAGTGCGCTTTTCAGTTCGGCGTTATCTGTTTTATCTCTTATAGAGATGAAACGACATTTCTGAAGGCATTTTACAGCTATTTTGGACGAATACGTGGATCTGAAGCCGAACCATTTGTTTACTTTACTTATAAAGGTTGCTTATGTTTCATGAAGGGCTTGGATTTTGTACCACATCTGAATAATTTACGTTACAATTTAAATCGTACGATGAGACATAAGGACTTCTCTTCGGTTAACGCTGAGGCGGCAGTAAAAATTGCTGATCTTCTTACGTACCAAAAATTGCATTTTCCCCTTGAACATCGTACGATGATAAACGATGCCGCTATCTCTGCTTTTTATGCACCCAAAATCTTTGATCACTGCATAGACCAATGCTTGAACAGTGGTTATTATACACGCATTACCGAGAATCCCGCGCAAAGCTCTACAAATTCTATATAATTGAGAAAATACAAATTCCATACAAAAGAGTTTTTGATTCGAACAATCACTTGAGTACACACGGGAACGCACATTCATAACTAATTAAATACTAAAAAAAACATTTAAGTTTTTATATATTTATTTATATATTAATATTATTATATTTATTTATATATTCAGTCGATGAGATTTCAGTTTTCGAATATCTGTAACGGGATCTTTTTGCAGCTGACGCTTCTTTTCTTCTATAATAAAATCCATCATTTCAGTTTGATGATCCCTCATTCGCTTCATGGCATCATCACAATCCGCTTGTACGTCATTCAACTTCTTTTGCATTACTTTGTGTCCATGGCTCATGAGACAACTCACCTTATTAGCTTGTTGCAAGAGCCTTTTTAGTTCATTGGAAATTTCGTCTCTTTTCAAACTTTCAAACGCCTGGCGCACGATGTGGTGATTCATCTACGTCTATTGAGAACATAACTAGTTTCGGTGTCATGCTACTTTTTTGATTGTCAAAGCAAATAGTATTAATGCCGGCCGCAGCAGCGGTCCGTTAGGCTAGCTTAGATCGAATTTAAAACCATTGCTCAATTAAGGCTGTTATGGCAGCGTATGTAGAAAATGTACTCACTTCGTAATCGATTTGGTGAATATCTACTAGTAATTATGCATAGATGGGCTCCATAGAGCAATGTATTCGCAAAAAATTTTCATTTTGACTGAAACGATTCAGATGATAAATTTTTCTGCTTCTTAAGAATGCGAAAAAAACCAAAAAACGTCCTAAACTCTAAAAATTTTGTCAAAACGGAGAGAAGATATGACGAATCGCAAATAGAAAACAAAGTACGATTTTCATTTACTAACTTGACGCGGTGAGTCAAAAGGAGAATTTCAGCGCCATTCTTTTACTCTCTTTCAAAAATTTTAAAAGTTTTGCGAAAATAATTTTAAAAAAATCCTATGGCATATTTACGCCATGTTGTTTGTTCAGAGACTTGTTTTAGTTATACATGCACCCCAAATACTAACTAAAAGGCGGATATATGCAATAATGCCCTGGCCTGTCTGCTTTCGATTCTTTATTCAGCAATTTTGTAAAGTTCACTTCAGGTTTTGGTGGTGGTTAATCAAGTGGCAGATTCTATCTTTTATACAATATTTACGCCCTTTTTTTTAAATTTCAAGTTTTTTCGAAAATCTAGCACAGCAGCGATAGGCTCTGCTAATGATTTTATTCCAATTGTTGGAAAGTGAGAAAAGAAAGTTGCCGCAAGGATCTATCGCTCAGTGATGGCTTTATAGAAATTATATTATTCGATATATAATATCTAGAAATTTATATAGAAGACAACTCAAAAAATTGTCACTGAGATGGCTCTGCTTCTGCCTGCTAAAGAAATTCTAAAAGTTAAAATCATTGGACCATCACACAAGTTTTTATTTAAAGTTTCATCGTTCATTCATCCACGATGGTTGCGGGAAGATCGGAGAATGAGCTTCTGTTAGAAAGGTACCAAAGAATCAATGTAGTGCGAATGGTGTTTGAAAAGCAATTGTATCCGTCCAGACAAAATGTGTTGTCACTGAGGTATGTAAAAATCATTCTCTTGAAATTCGTAATAAATCCGTAGATAAGAAATAGAAAACTACGTTGAACCGAATTTTAAACAAACTTTGTAAAAACTACTTACTGTGCGTAAGTATTAAAAGCAAGTAATGACGAGCAAATTCTCCTTCTACTAAAATGAGTTGAGCATAAAAGAGATTAATAAAAACTCCCTAGTGGAGAATAAAAGTGAATAACGAGCTTATAAGTGGGTTAACAAAACAAACAGGGGCAAATTGAAGTGACCGTGGTTTATTGTGAACGCTTCTTAAGTAAAGAATATTTACATATTTTTATAGAAATTTATTTATATATATATATATAAAAATATACAGTTCTACTTTTAAACACATTTATAAAACAGAAATAATAAATGTAACAACAAACAAGAATTTAAATTACGAGTATCGTACATAATTAATAGATCCAGCCATCTAAATTGAATATGGGTGTTGAAATGTCCAGTTTCCCAAATTTTCGGTTTATAGTGAACTGCTTTATAGCGACTGTTGCCATTGTTCTTATATTCAATCTACTCTTACGCTTTGCCATTTAAATGCATGAAAAGCGTCAGCGGTCTCATCAAGCATAAATAAGGACTTTATTTAAAGATAACCTTTGAATATATCAGCGCATCTTTCGACCTATTCATCTCACGATTGGATCCCCTGAGATTTCATACGGTGCCGTCAACCATTCTCCTACTCCATAAAAAGACACAAACCGTTGCTGCAATGCTTCCTGGATTATTGAATAACATTTTATTTGTGTTTCATAGAATTAAATTTTTTATGATCTCTATTTTACAAGTTCAAATCTAAAATACATTTTTATTGGATTTTTTCCTTTTTGAAAGAAAATTTATTTCAACCATTAGCCGTTTTGTTTCATTTAAAATTTATTTAATTGGAAGTGAATTTATAGTGGTTGTTTTACGATAGTCATCAGAAGGCGAGCCTCACTTATCTATCACGTACCAGGCAAAGCTTTCATGTACATAAGCAGGTAATTTCCAGGAATTGTCATCGCACATCTTGAGGCGCTTTTATATTGGCCCCTTCTTTTTTTCATCAACGTAACAGGGGTTAGTTAACAATTTATCAATTTTTGCGGTAACTTGCGTGAATAGTCTCCTATTTTGATGGGCTGATCGGTATTCTCATTTCATATTGCACTGTATTCTCATTTTGTATTGCACTGATCCTTTCGCCGATTGTGTCTATGATCAGAACCGATTTGCGTACAACGAAAACAAAATTGTAGTCGGTAGTTTTGTTTTTTGCGGTCATGGAAACGTTTACCGTAGATATTCCTCGTACGGGATTTAGAACTTGCTGCAAGAACACAGTTTAGGGGGTTTTTGAAGTTTCCTTTGGTTGATGAATAAAAAACCATTTTCAATTAAAAGAGATGAAAACACTAATGTGGTATGCGGCCCACCGTTAAATACCCTACACCGCTTGGTTTAAGGCTGTTATTCATGTAACGACTTTTCAAAATAAGCTTTATACGGGAAGTGGTCGAAAAAGTCTTCCGATTGGAAGTATTTTCAATAGCGTTCCTCCTGGCACAAAACAAGTCTGCATACCAAATTTCATCAAAATATGTTTTGTAGGTTGAAAAGAAAGTACAAACAGACACAAGTGGACGGACAGACAAGCTTAGATCGGTTCAAAAAGTGATTCTGAATTGATGGGTATGATAAGAGATGGGCCTATCTCAAGTCTTTCTAGGTGTTGGATACATTCGAAGAAACTTAACACATCCTTGTACCGCAACTGGAGTGGAATGTAACATGAATTTGCAGAGATAATATTTCTCTCCGTAAAAACTTTTTGAAAAATTTGTCTTTTTAATCGTAATCACACTATCTGGAAGGATGGGATGGATACTATCCATGCAATGTTATAAAGTGACGAGGTTTCATATCCTTGGAGCATTTTTTAATGTAAGCGTGGTAGGTATAGATGATCTAGTAGCAGGCGCATATAATTTCCTTACTTGTTTCATTTCGGATGCAAATGTTTAAAAGTATCTGGGTTTCATATTATTTATATATTATACACAATAGATTGATTGTAAAAGTAATGTTCCATATTATTTTTTCTCTAATTTTAAATATATCTATACACACACAGATATCTGTTCAAAACTATTTAAAGATCTAAAACAAGTTAACATAATATAGAAAGTATGACGTACAAGGAAAAAATAAATGATAAATAAAAGATAGCAATAAATAATTCCGCGTTAAGTTTTTTAACAAATTGCTACTTCAGTGACGGTGGAACTCCAACTTCGAACATCAACTATTGCACAGGGGCGTTTTCATTCCATTTCATTCATGGTCTATACAAGCTTTTGCAACGTGCAAAATGGAATATACTAATTCTTGGGCAAGTCCGTCTGTTCGCCTATCCATCTGTGTGTCTGTTTGTCCGTCCACCTACTCGTGCGCCCAATGGTGTGCTGCACACTCCCCGGTTTACAAAAAAGAGAGCATCGCCTACAAATTTGCAACAGAGTTTGAACATGGTCCAGACAGGTCAAAGAAAGCGCCCTTAATGCCATTACAACCAAAACTAAAACGCCTTTGGTTTTCGTGTCTGTTTTTGGTCGCTTCTCCTACACTAAAATAGATACGAAACAAATTTTCAAAAAATTATTCTACGAAAACATAAAAAATAAATCACGTCCAACTAATAGTATGGGGTATGAAAATTTATGTTATTCCTTCTTTTTAACGCCTTAGAGGATAATACAGGTGAAAACTGCAATTGCTTAGGAAATTAATTGCCGTTACCGCTTGTTTCCTGTGGTTTCAAAAATGGACGTAAAATGGCGTTTCCCGGCGTTCAAAAATAGAACGATCGCTGCCTTAGTGGGCAAAACTTAAGATGATGTATTTTCTTATTTTTTAATTATAATTTTTTTGCCAAAATAATACGCATTCATACGCAACTTCATTTTGGGAAACGTACTCTTTACTATGCTTACATATCTTAGGTTGAATGCAATACGAATCTTAAATCTTCCGTCAGCGAGACTTGGAAATGAAGTGCATCAAGCCTTGAAAGATTTAAGAAACGAAAACGCCAATATCGCTAATCTATTATACTTATGTAATACAGAATAAAAACAACAATATGGAATTGGGAGCACAAATTCGTTAGACTCACCGAAAATTAAGTATTTATAAGCTGATTACCTACAATCTGTAATCCATTAAAGTTTTACATATTAATAGCATTCAATGGTATGCAGAATACGTTAGTGTTTTCCCTTTCAGCCATATTTCAAGCTCAATGTGAGGATGATCGAATAAAAACACTAAAGTGGGACATGGTTCACCAATACAAATCCTATACCAGTTTGCTTAATATTGCTATTATATTAAACCTATATAGGGTTCTTTTTCTGAGATAAAGTTTGTCCTTCTAGGTGTTGCATACATCCGCATAAACTTTATATACTATATAAAAAGCAGACAAAACGAAAACACGGAAGCGAATAGAACCATTTTTTCACCTTATTTGTATGCCTTTGCTTACGTATTTTATATTTCGCATGCAAACAAAAGACGAGAAAAGTGCAAATTCAACATAAAAAGATATGAAACACATAAGAAAATTAAATTCGATCGGAATCGAATCTTTTATATTCATCACCGTTTACCGCAAAAAAAGACAAAAGAAGTAAAAGAACAAAATACTCATGCTCTGTAGTGTGGAGCGGGCGCTGTTGATTTCAAAATAAAAGGGTTTGTAATAGGGGCATGTGGCGTGCGTGGGCGTGTTCTTCGAAAAGTTTAGGTCAGTTGCGAAGTCTCTTGCAAATTTGTAGGGAGATATTTTCATTTTCGCTAACGGAAAAATTTTTACCACAAATACTACAAAGTTACGCAAACAGATAGATGCGCAGACGAACAGGCGGACATGTTTAGGTGCATTCAAGAGTTGTAACTGGCCAAGAATTTGTATACTTTATGGAGTTTTCCAAGTTTGTTTCTGCTTGTTATAAAGGTATTGAAAAAATAATTAAATTTAATACACTATTGTATTGGGTAGACGTGGTTCACTTTTTGCTATTGTTGTACACAGACGCTACTGCATCGCCCGGAATATGCATTCAAACCTTTGTACATTTCTTTGCTATAATTTACGAGTACTGAGCAAAGATCCAATTTTTCATTTCCTTTGGAAAGGAGAGTTTTGAGTTTACGTGGTGTTGCGGGCGTGTTCTTCGACCGATTTGGTCCATTTTGATACCAACCTGCATGCAAGAACTTTCAATGCTGCTGCCAAATTTGAAGTCGGTAAATGTCTTTTTGTGGTCTAGAGAATGTTTACAGCAGACATACACAGACCGAGAGGCGATCAGACGAACAGACGGACATGCTTAAATCGATTTAGAATTTAATGCTGATCGAGATTACATATACTTTGTGTAATCTCCGATGCTTCCTTCTGGGCGTTGCAAGCATCACATCCTTCGCTGATCGTTATAAAAATAAAATAAATTATTGTTCTTGTTTTTGCCTACGACCTACTCACGTAAGATTGTTGCTGAATTGTTGCTTGCAAAAATGCATGTTCTTGGTTTCATGCAGCGTAATAAATGTATAAAGTATAAAGTGCAAAAAAATATTTGAAGCCTTTTGATATATAGATAAAAGTTTCTTTTATTTTATTCAAGAAAAAACTTCATATTAATTAAATATTAATTTGATTAACTATTTATAAGTAAATAATAAATTAGTTTCTAAATGTATTTTTGAAAAGCCCAACAATTTCTATAACAGCAATTTGCTAATAGCGAAGCGGTGATCTATATCAAGCTATTAACAAAACGACGTAAAAATCATACTTGAAGCATTAAAATCATTTAAATTAAAAATAGAGTTTAGAAGAATATGAGTATATATGAATAAAAAAGGAGTTTTCGTTTACAGTTATTAATACCTATGAAAGATGTAATTGAAATTTTTTTCATATCAAGTACGGATCTTGTAGTTATGGCTTTTTGAAATATTTATTACATTTTTTCACTTTTATATAAGAATATTTAAATAATTTAGATTCATCATTTTGTTCTGTCTGTGGTTTTTTCCTCCCTTTCGATAAGCAGGTAAATGTTTAAATATGCCTTAAACTAAATATTAGATCATTTTTAATAACGCGGCCTAGTCTTTAAATGAAAATTTCTCGATACCAATTTAAAAATGCCCGAATTTTCCTTTTCCTCGCTAGAGTTGAAGAATATTTGGACTTAAAATGTTTTCCTTTTCTAGATTTTTTAAATTAATCTAAAATTAATTTCTATGATTTTAAAGAAACTAATTATAGATCCGATTGTCCAGGTCCTGGAAAGATAGATGGTAATAAAGAAGTAATTATTAGCAATAATAAACTTGATCAAATCCGGAAATATTTACATAAAAAGCTTAAGAAAGTCAGAAACAGTATGATTAGCTTGCTATCTAAATGACACAAGGGACAACTTAAAACGACTTTTTTTCTATGTGACAAAAAAAAAACAAGAAAATAAAATTGTTGTTATGTAGTTAAGGCATGCAAACACATATCAATCTTTCGCTCGCATGTTTATGAGACAAAGGAGAGAGAGAGAGAGAGAGAGAGAAAACTTCACCTTTTCTTTTTAATTGCAACTCATTCATCAAAACGTTATTTAAAATTGACGAACTTCATACTTACGAAGTAAGACATGTTTGTGTTTTCATATTCCCTTCATTAATATGTCTATTTATTAAACGATTTCTACGAAAATTTGCCAAAGGTGGAGTTTACTCCCCATTTTTGTTATTGCTCTTTTTTGAATTAGTTTTTATATTAAACGATTAAATAATTCTTCAATATTTTGCGATAAAATGTTTTCATGTGAAATTTATGAAAATATCATTTTCGAAGATATTTTGCCATCGACTTCGTCCACTATCGTCATCTATCGCCATATAGTCTAAGAAACCTGGTAAAGCAGTCTGAACCCGTTTTTAAAATCCAGCTTTTCTTGCTTAAAACTAATAACGAAAACTCTAGGTTTTTGAAGAAAATCATTTAAAATAGTTCGGTGTTTTACTTGCGACCGAGAAATAGTGGGCTTTTACATTTCGGTATTTCCAGAGTTTTTTTTACGCGTTTTTATGTCCTACTCCACTTGTGGTAGAAGGGTATATTAAATTTGTTCGGATGTATGCCATACTCGGAAGGACTTGAGATAGATCACTACCCTCTCTTACACCGATCGATTCACAGTTATATTCTGAATTAATTTAAGTTTTCTGTCCGCCTGTCCCTCCGTCTTGTTGGGCTGGAGTAAGAGATCGCTGTGTCACATATATGTGACGATTGGCAGCGAACGTGTTCTCAAGAGTTTACTATGGGCGAATTTGATTGACTTTGCTACTAAGGCTGGTTTGAAATGTTTTTGTTTGGCGTAGAAAAACAGGTATAAAGAAGAAATATTCACGACATATAACCGAATCGACCGCTATTCACTTAACTATGGAGGTGAGAACATTAATGCAACGGCTTTAAATACCTAAACATCTTAAATTTTGCTACAAGGATTTCCATGGACTATATTGGCAAGGGCACGTACAATGTGTGGGTGCTTGAACTTTGAAGCTGCGATGTGTATTCTTTGTAAACATTTACGATATCTTTATCACTGTATCCATATATAATGTAGCTCTCCTTAGGATCTAATGGCAGATTTATCCAATAAGAACGGAGGCTCAGCACGTTTTTAAATTCATATTCTTTACGTTTACCGTACGCAAATATTATCGCAAATATATTTGTGTTTCTAAGCTATACATAGCAAATATAAAGCTAGCAAAGTAAAAATTTAATAGATTGCAAAATGCAGAAACAAATCAGACATAAGCCATGTGCAAGAAAAATATATATAACCAAAGATTTTAATACATATATACCTTCACAATTCTGAACAATTCTTTATTGAATTACATATTAAGGCCGATTGTATTTTTGGTCTTGATGACTGTTAAAAAATGCATTTGTGGTTGATTGATTTCAGAGTACACTTTGTGCTCAAATTATTTACATTGCATGTTTTTTAACTAATAAACTGATGCAATAATGTTGGTGATGATTAGGTTAACGATATATCTTCGGATTTAATTTTTCTTGGTTCGACGAACAAATCTCTTCTCAACAAGGCAACGTTGATGATTTTAATGTAGATAAAATTGAATATGCATTCAATAGATGCAAGTTTGAGATCAGTACTTAATTAAGACAATTCATATTTTTTATACGTGTCCTTTTTCTTGCACAATCAAATGAAATGAAAAATATTTTGAAATTCGCTGAAGGGAACTTAAAACTTTCCCAATTTACCCACTAAGCCTGCGTGTAATTCTCTAAGACTTCTAAGAAGATCTAGTGATGGGCATTAAACTTTCTGATGATTCCGCTCCCCTAAGTAAATCTCTACCTATGATAGCTGTATCTAAAATCATGCGTAACGTATTGCTCCGCAGTATCTTTGTCTCCCCATTATTTTGCCTTCGCCAATTTTCGGACAAGCACTTCTGTTTCTTTTGAAACTGTTTGAGATAACAACTGGGTTAGTATCCGCTAGTGAATCGTTTAAGGTATTTAATTCTTCATCGAGAACTCTCTTAGCTACTGCTTGTATTTTTTCCATAGGTAATTGCCGTAGGTATGAGTTATCACTTTTTAGAAGAAGACTTTGGACCAATTCTACAACCATCTGATCATTAACTATATTGTGTGTGTCTGAGCAGTTATTATTATATGAAGGTAATGACAAGCGCTCTCGACGTTCTGCCATGGTCTCAGCGTCTAATAGCGCTTGAGGATTCTGTTTTCTAGTTATGCTAACATTGTGTACAATTTTTTTACGACTGGGCTTTGAATCGCTTTCTTTATAGACGTCCTTTATTTCCATATCTTCTTGTAACAACTTGAATAGACGCGAGTGAGTAGCTGCCCTTTGATAAGACGTCATTTTTCGTAATTCCGGAAAGATCTCGGATTCGGTATCAGTTCCGGATTTATTTATGTCCGTGACGCCAGAGTCTTCTTCTTCTATTTCCGATTCGGAACGTTGAATACTACTGTTGCGTGGCAGCGCAGGTTGCTTGATAGAATTGGAAATTGGCAATGAATGCTGAGCTATGCATGATCTGCATGTGCTACTGTCGAGGGAAGTAGATAACGCACAGGTTTCAAAAGCCGCAATACGTTCGCGTACGGATGTTTTGTTAATATCTTTAGAATTTTCCCTTTCCGAAGTATTTGATGAGAGATTAATTTCCAATGAAGGCTCAACATGAGTGGATTGCGAGGATTCAGTTTCTTTAGAAGACACATCATTGTTTCCATTATTACTTTTTTGATTAGTATTCAATTCTTTAGTAATTGCCTGAGTCTTATTTTTGCGTTCTCTCTCAATCTCTGCCCAGAAGTCTATTTCCTCCATAATTTTGGCATCAGTGTTTTCTTTAGGAGTTACTGTTTCATTATTTTCTTGGTTATCTTGGGTAACATGAGCTAGTGGCTTGTTTTGAACTTCCTTCTCTTTCCTTCCACATTCTTTGGTTTGTCTGTTTTCATGTGGCGATCCTTTGGAGAAGGTAGGGAATTTATAGTATTTCATCTTATTTCTCATTACTCGTGATTCTTCCGAAAAGAATTCGTGTTCTTTTAAGGCCCAAAAGTTCGCTGCTTTTGATGGACCAACTTTGTCGCTTTGATGTTGTTTGGCTTCGTACTCTGTCCAAAAATCAAACTCTTCATCAGTGTCTACTTCTCTAAGATCTTCCGGGGTCTTTGAGTCAGTATATAGCGACAAATATTCAGGGTTTTCATCCATGATTTTACATTTCATATCGTTATAAAATGTAATATTTTCAGTCATTTCTGAGGAATTGCGTCCTTCAAGCGTCCTTTGCAAAGTGAGTTCCATTTCAGTTTTTCGATGAACCGTCTTTTGACTGTCCGTGATATATTCCAATAAATTACTTCCTTCTTTACATTCCATTTCTTCAGATTCGCCTTCTTTTAGCTCTGTCCTCGACCGCAAAATAGGATTATCCGTCGGTAGTTGGGAGTAAAATTCAACACAACCATAAGGAATTTCCGTATTGGTCTGCGTTTTCATATTGTTTGAGGGTCTTTCTTCGTTGAGTTTAATAATCTCACAGTTATTAGTGTTTATTATGTTTTCTTTCTGTTCATCCGTTTTCTTCATAGTCCCATTGACCATAATGGAACGAACACTAGAGTAATTCTCTTTTCTATTAAGGACTTTCAAAGCTGGTAAATCACCTGTCTTGCTCGTCCATACATCTTCAATTTCTTCATCCGCTTCTTTCGTTTCCAATAATTCTGCTTCGTTTGACTTAAGTGTCTCTTCGATGCTGTTTCCCCAATAGCTTGCTGATTGTTCCTTGATTTTTTGCGTCTCTTTCTTAGTAGCCATAAGTGTAGCAAAGAAATTTAAGTCTTCCGGCTCTGGTGACTCCGATATGAAAGCTGAGGCATCAATATCAACTGACTGACGAAGAATTGGCGATTTGTCAGGTGATGATTTATTTTTCAATAAATTTTTGTTATCCGAAGATTTCAAAGGTAAAGTTACACTAACATTGTAATTGTTGTAAATCGTCCTTTCACAGTCGTTATTTTCAGATATCATTTGAACGCAATTTTCCATTTCATCCAAGCATAAGCTGTCTTTCTTTTCCTCAACTTGAGACGTTCCTACTTCGACCGTAGCAACATTCTCATCATTAGATGAACGCCTAAAGGAGAACTTTAAAGGCAGTCTAACAGTAACTGATGTAGACTCTTCTTGATTGTCCGTATCATTATCTTCTATTTGGTCGGACAATTTTATACTCTGCAATGAACCATTACTTCCTATTACAGTTTTGGGATAATCACTGCTACGTTCAAAATCACTTTCTTCTTCGTAAATGACACTTAAGTTTTCTTCTTCCAGAAAAACCTCAGTTTCATCTGAATCTTCGGTATTGACATCCATTTCTACCGCAATTTCATCTTCGTCCTCTTCATCGTTTTCCGCGCTGGAAATTGAATCGCTTATAGTAAAATCGTCTTCAAAACTATCGATAACAGGTTTCTGATTCTCACTGCTATAAGTTAGAATATTTTTGAATGATTTGATAGAGAGCAGATTACTAATTTTACTATTGTCGTTATTCAAAGCGGTATCGTCCTTAGAACTAGAAGTTTGACTTGCATTTTCATACCATTTTTGTCCTGCTGCTATATCGTTCTCCGGTAATTTTCGAACAGAAGTGCTAATAAATGAGTCTTTTTGTGACTTCACGGAGTTGCATTCTAAGGTCTGATTTGAAGTTCTAACTGAATCATGTTCAAAGGTTTCACGACAATTCTGAAGGTGCTTTTCTGATATGACATCTTCACTTCGTGTTATTGTAATGTCCGGTAAAACGCTACGAGCCCGTCTACAGTTACGGCTACCAGGGCGTGATATATGTGGATGAGACGGGTGGCAATTATAACAAGTCGAATAAGGTGGTGGCAAGCAAGGAAAATAAACTTGATTTTGTAAATCTAGATCAGAGGTAGGCTTTGGAAAATTAGCTGACGGTTGGTAACAAGTTAAGTAAGGACCATGACATGGTGCATAACACACTGGTACTACATAATTTTCTGGACTATCTAAGGAATGTGTTAAAATTTGAATATATCGCCAATTAGTTGAAGGTAATAAAGGCCCATGATGGTGACAATGGCAATCACAATCACAGCAAATAGGTGAGGACATAGGCATGGTAGGGGTAGGAGGTAAAGACTGACAGCGTGTTGTTAATAAGTCACGACTATAATTTTGTTCATCATACAGTCCTTTGCTGTGTTGAGAATTATATCTAGCTGTAGTAGAGAATTCGTTCGTTCAAACCAAAGAAGTGAATGGTGTATACAAGTTGCCGAAACGGGGAAAATAGAGAAAAATATAAATGAAATAAAATAGTATCGTGAGTATACAGATGATACAAAAAATTTTGATATTAAATCTTTGCCAAATTGATAATGACTTAGTAAGGTGCGATGGGGTTTTTTTTATGAAAAGTTATGTATTGAAAATGGTGAACTGATTTGATTTCTAAACTAGTTAGTTATATGGGAATATGAATAAAATTGATAAATTTGTTACATGTTTCATGTTGAAGTTGGATATCAAAAAATGATTAAAAACTTTTCATTGTTCTCCTTAGGTGGATTATTACTCACTTAGTTTGCTTGTTGGACGACATACTTCAGGTATTAGGAAACAATATTTTTTCTTACAGAACGTGTGTAATTTTAATTAATTGAAGATTTAAAAAGTGAAATGGAACGCTAAGCATTATATAATAACTTTTTTTTACAAAAACAAAAACTTACAATACAAATTTAAAAAATTATTTCCGTTCAAAAGACGTATAAAGTTGCAATGAAAAGGTGAAATTTCCATTTAAAAAAACAAAAAAAAAAAAAAAAAGAATTTTAATAAAAATGTTTTATGATTTTTAAAAAACCGTCCGAATTGAAATTTTTTCTTAAGATAATGTACTGGATGTCACATGATAAGCCATAGGTATATGTATGAATGAGATATATAGCATATTCTAAAAATGTGTGGAGGGGAAAGGGAACTATTTTAGAAAATACATTGCATGAAGAGAACTTACCAGCATTCTCTGGTGCTGTCATCGCTTGCAATATTTTAAATGATCGACTTGGTATAGCGCTTCCTGTATATTTTTTTGGTTCTGGTACTTGTTGTTCACTGGGTGGTATGTGTTGCTGTTCTACGTTATTTAAATCTAAAAATAATCAAAAACAACTTTTAATGAAACAGTCCCCCATGTAAAAAGGTACTGTTAGGTTGAACGTCTCACTCACTTTAGAGATTATATTATTGTTAGGAGAGATTTACAAAAACATCAATATTTGTTTTTTCTTCAAATTGAGAAAAATATTTGTAACTCGAAAGTTTAATTACCTCCACTGCATCTCTTTAGATGTGGAGATGAACTTGGAAAGTGCGATGTGAATAGTTTGTAAAGCGAAAGGTAAACGAAACATCAACGATTAATTTGTTCCGAATATTTTTCTTCCTACTTTAGATAATTTTGTCAATTATCTCAAAACTTGAATATTTCGAGATAGATGTGTGTATTTTGGCTTGAAATTTAACGAACTGCCCATAAAAACCAGTTTGGCCACGTACTCGTCTCTTCGAAATGATCAAGATAATCGCTCTTTAATGGGATTGTATCAAGAATAAGTTATTGCGACTGAAATTTTGCCTCAGACTCTAAATATAACCATTGATCGATTACCAAATTCATTACAATTTGGTTAAGTGTGGTTTACAGGAAAAAATAAACATTTGGAAGCATATCAGACGGAGAAATGAGCTTAGTTGTCCTTATCCTTTGAAAACACAATTACAATCTCAAGACAATTGAAGAAACTTGCATGACAGTTGAAGGGAGAAGTGCTAACGAGGTTGCATGAACGCAGCAGAGAAAACTGCTGCGTAAGCTATAGCCCTGTAAAAGAATAGAGATAAACCATCATTGAAGGATGAGAATGGTGACACATAATATATAAAATTATATGTGTTCTTGATCAGCATCAAAATCTGAACCGATTCAAGCACGCTCATCCGTTTGAATGAAGCTAATGGCTTCAAATTCGGCAAAGACGTTAGAAGCGCCTGCACACGGGTTTGACAACGGGACAAATCAGCCAAAGAACATGACCACCCTACAACATAACCTATGTTTAAAATAAAGAAAAACCATTTGGTTTTTGCTTGTTCCTTATAAATTACAAGATATACAAAGTTGAAAATTTGCATGTATATTCCATGAGTGGTCTGGGAGCACCTATACCATGAAAACAATCAGTCATGCCGACTCAAGGCACACAAGTGACTTTTTTAATTGTTTAAATCTCCACAACGTGGACGATGCATTCTTTGTTAGCGGTATAAACAATTAGGTATCAAATAAGAGGACTTGAAGAGTCGCATACGATAACACGGATAAAAATATAAAAGGTTCGCTCTGGTAAAGTCGTGTTGATTGTGCACGTAAAATGATTATGTAAAAGATCATATTGTAATTAAGAGTGATAATTTTTAAAATTTGAAAGACAAAAAATTACACCATGTATCCGTGCAAATTGGGTAAGTGCCTTCCGTAATCTTCGATTGAGAATTATGTATGAACAATGATTACTCGTTTGTTTCGTTCGTTTTTTCTCGTCTTGTTGCAAAATTACGCAAATTTTTGTGAAAATTAACCTCGTACCGAAGTAGATAAAGATTTGTTTCGTATGAGTTAAGAACATTTGAAATACATAAATAATGCTAATAAGGTTTATCGTTTAGTACTTTAAAAGGTAGACGTATATCATGCGAAAATATAGCGCAATTGGAAAAAACCGTCGCTTCAAGCGATGTGGCTCACTTTCCATGCCAACTTACGCGCAAGAACATCCAATGTGTCTGCCAAATTCAAAGTCGATAGCTATGTTTTTGCGGCTAGGAGAATGTTTACAAAAGACATGATACAGACGACAAGACGGACAGACGGACATGCTTAAATCGATTCAGAATTTGATGCTGATCACGAATATATATATACTTTGAGGGATGTTAGGGACTTCCTTACAGGCGTTGCAAACATTTTGACAAAACATTCAGTGATGGGTATAATAACTCTTGGGTTTTGCATTACAGTGTGGATTCTATATAATAACTATTCGTCAATTTCCTACAAAAGAATTAAAATCCCCAGATAACGTTGTGTGGGGCAAATTCGAGTTTCTTTTTGGTAGGTTAAGAGTAGGTTTCTTTCTGTAGCTTAAGAGTAGGATAATTAATTTAAGATATGACTCTGACGGACGAGATAGAGAGGTTTAGGTCGATAATCAGCTGCGGACGCCGATTTGACGAAATGCATTGTTAACGTCCGTCTTACGTTTTGTCCTTCTTCCAGCGTTAGCTTTCATTGTGAGCGAACGTACGCTCATCGCAGTCCATGGATAATAGTAACTTATGCTTTTAAAGCGGGTACGTATAACTGCAAACAATATGTATTATGAGTTGAAATAATTGCGTAAAAGGTAACGCGAGGATCTATAATAAATTGAAGTGAATGTAAGAAAAGAAATACATGTTATTATCCGGCGGTGTATAAAGGACTGTGTTAGGGAGACTAACTCTACTGCGAATTAACCTGAAAAGATAAACTGCTTTTCCAACAAAGAAATTTTCTAATAAGTATTCTGGCTTAGTTACTGAGTGTTGCCACTGCGCAGTTAGACGGTCGATAAGGTAAAATTTTACGTCCTTACAACGTATTTACCGGACATGGGTCCGCGCCAGTAGCTTTCTTTGCCACGGTTAAAGAAATCGTCTCGTGACAATAGTTTTGCTGCAAAGAAGTAATTAAAAAGATTTTGCTGGCTGAGGAAAAGAAAGAAGAATGAAGAAAAGAGATGAAATTAATGTGGTTGTGTGGACATAGAAATAAATGTGTGCTTTTTTCAATAATTAGTAGGTATCTATAATTGCAAAATGTGTATCCGTAGAAAGCACGGGGTGCACGGAGTGCATTCTTCATTCATTTAGTCCCATACGAAGGCTAAGTTTCTTTAATATTTACAAAGAGGTCGCAGTTTAAGGGACGAGAGGAAAACTTGTATAGCAATGTTTGTGGACATTAACCCCAATTATTTATAGAGGATTCCTTACACGGCAAGAAAGGTCTTTGATCTTCATCGTTTTTATTACCTTAGTTAGTATAAATAATGTTGCTGATTCAATGTCGACACCTGTGTTCTTGGTGTGTTACCTGAAAGAAGATTTTACGAAGCACGACATTATTTAAAAGTGGGCATTCAAAGAATTTCATATTGTTTTATTATTTTATAATTATTATTATTTTTTTCTTTTTGTAGATTTTTAGTATAATAAACAAACGAGAAGATCTGTGTCAGTAGCACCAGTAAAAGAAAGGAGGAATTAATTGAAAACTTTGATAAATGCATTCCAAATCAATTTATATTAAAATGTCTTAGCGCAAAGCAACTCACTCCGCTCCTAATATAAGATTTAAAATGAAATTTTGCCAAAAGTTTTTAATTTATTCTCTTTTTCAATCATATAGCAAAGGTTTCATTCAATTTTCCAAAGCAATCATACATCTTATAGTCTGGCGTCCCTTTATTCGTTGTCTTAATATAATACCCCTTCTAAAAATAAAATTTTTTCGACTTTCATAACATTCATAACTAGTCTAATTTCTCACAATTCAAACTAATCTTAATTTCTAAATTTTTATTACTTAACAAATGCTTATCAGCAATCGTTAACAAAGCAAGAGAGAAAAAAAAAAGAATTTTGATTCTTCCGAACGCGAAGTTGGCGTTAAGAAAGAAGGAAACAATTATGTAAACGAAGATAATACGAAACAAGTAAAAACACTACAGAGGGCCACGGTCCACCACCAAATACCTAATCTACACCACCCAACAAGATAGGGCATTGTATGGGAGTTTTTTCGAACGAATGATCCGATCCGACCAATTTTTCAATAACGTCGACGTTAGGTCAGAACATGCCCGGCAGTGTATTAAATTCCATCGACGTATCTAAAAAAATTGCGGCCGATAGGTTGAATACGATAAAATAAGACAGAGAGACGGATAGGCAAGCTTAAATTGATAGACGAATTGGTACCAACTCGATCGGTATTATAAAAGATGGGTATATCTCAAGTCCATCTGAGTGTTGCAAATGCCCGCATAAATTTTACATACCCTTGCACCAGAAATGGTGTGAGAAGCTTAAAAACGAATTTGTCTGAAAGATTGGTTAACGTATGCTTTTTTCTATACACTTTATAAAAGATCCAAATCATTGCAGGTAGTTAAATTAGAACATGCCCCTGTACGAATACTCGAAGTCTTCGAATTTTCGCTCTACCTATGACAACAGCGCAAATTTTTTGGTAGCTGACGCTGGATCGCTTATACTGGAAAGAGGATGTAACTATGGGCATTTTTACATGCTTTCAGATGCTGTCAATTGTTTCGAACTTATTGATAAAAAATTTTATCTTTCATGTTTTATTTGAATTTGAATTAAGCTCTTTCGGTTCTTATCTAAGAGTTTCCGTTCTTTCTAACGTTTGAAGTGAATGACGAAAATCAGACTAGAAAAAAAAAAAAAAAAAAAAAACAGCAAAATTACCTTGTTCGTGAGCAATTTGCAAACGTCTCATTTGCTCAACGGTTGGACTATTTCGTGCCTGTTGAGCGCTCATTTGACGTGCAAACTGCGGCTTTTGTAATTGCGGTTCGGCATCCATATAATTGTCAGGTCTATGGCGCATTGTCGCGGCAGAGTCCTTCATGTTGCCGTTGCCCTCCCCAATAGTGTCTGTGATTTTTTGTAAAATTCTAAAAGATTTCGATTGCACAGGAGGTGTACGTTGATCGCTAAAATAAATATTGTTAAACGTTTGGCATTTGGACGTTAAAAAAATGTGTTTAGTAAATTTCAATTTAAGAGGGATGTATGAATTTTTAACGTTAAAAGCTAGAGTGCGAAATGAAAAAACATTAAATAAATTAATTGATTTTTTTATTAAAAATTGTACACTGCGAATAATGGATGATGATCTTCGAATGTTTTGATTATGATGGAGCTAAACAAACATTTAACACATTTTTCCAGGACAACATACACTTTTGGTCGTTTTTTAATTTGGATCATTAAAATTCGATTTTTGACGATATTTGACTTAATGAACAAACTCAAAACTACCTGAGTCGATTTTTTCTAAATCTGATCTCAGCCTCAAGTGGACAGTCATGTACTACAAGATTATAATTTCCACTTTTTAGAAGCATTCATTTCATTTCATATCACATTATTAAGTATTATACAAAGAAAGAATATTAAGAGAGAATATACAAAAGAAGAGCTTTTAATAAATTAACAGAAAGAAAAAAGCTATAGAAGATAGATTTTTTTTAAGTCTAAAGTTAATCAATTTTTACTTATTTGCATAAGGAAAATCGCAAATTTACAATAAAATTATACTCACTTTTGTATAACAACCGGAGTCTTGGATACGGGTCCACGGGTACCTTCGTTACCCTCAATAGCAATGGGTATTATATGAGTTCTAGGCGTTGACGCTTGTTGTTGTTGCTGCATTACCATACGTGGAGCATTTAATTGCTGACCGATAGGTGTCATAAGTTGTTGCTGTTGTTGGGTGGTTGTTGATTGCTGACCTGCATAACTATTATAACCTTGATCCACAAATTGATTGGGTGTCCGCATTATATATCCAGGAGCTGCGGATCATGGAGAAAGTGTCAGTCAGAATAATTTATAATAGCAAAGGTCTCGTATATTAATCACGATAGGCAGTGGTTATCATCAACACTGGAATGTCCTATTACATTTTATAAAAACGAATAGAAACGACGCCTTAAGGACATAAAATAGGTAAAAAAAAAAAAACTAACCCACATTATACTATATTCCTATCCGCGTTCTAAGCTGTGCAAGTATGCATTCAAAATACTTTCATATTTCAGAAATAATTGTTTCTTACCATTATTAGCAGCTGTTGATTGATTGTTGAAACTTAATTGACTCGGATTGTGGGTGGGCGTCTGTTCCAATTGTATAGGTATAATTCGTTCCTAGAAAATTACATTTGATAATAATTTCCTTAGAAGAAGAGCGTCGTCGTATATTTTTCAAAAATATTTTCTTTACCTTCGGAGCAATATTGTTATTAAATTGAGCCGATGGCACTGTATTGATTTGTAAACGTAGGCCGGGCGAAGCGTGAGAGCTTTGAGAGCTTTGAGAGCCAAAGTTGTGCATGCCGTTGCTATAAACCGTTTGTTGATGTTGCATTGTATTTGTGGTTAAAGATGAGGGCGGCGGTGATTTGATCCGATTAATTGTTGAAGGCACGACATTGCCATTTTCTTCCGGACGTGCCCATTCTGGCTGCTCACGTGCTACTGGTTGCGAAGTCAACCAACGTAATTGTTGCGGCGGTTGCTGGCTTTGACGCTGCTGTTGTTGTTGTTGTTGCTGTTGTTGCACCATTTGCTGACGTACAATATGCTGAGCTTGTGGTTCGGTAGGGGGGGTCAACGGCGCAATATATAGAGAACCGACATTTGTCTACGCAAAAACAAATATAATTAATAAACAGCATCATCCGCTTGGTGGCAGTGAACGTATACAATTTTTATAAAAAATATATTTTAGTTTTGCTCTGCTTAGAGGTCATATTTGTTATAAACAAAGTCTCCAATAGAGAACTTTGTTACTTACTGGTTTTGGTGATTGAGTGTTATTATAATTATCCGATTGCTGCTGCTGTTGCGCGTTATTATTGTAAGCTGTGTGAGATATTTGTTGTTGGTTGCTACGTTGCCCACGCCACGGTATCGTTTGAGAAGGTGAAGCAGCTGCTCCCGAAGAAGCTGTAGATGGCGTATTTTGCTGCTGGACCAAAGGTGAGACGTTTGCTCCCGGTCCTTGTTGCTGCTGAGTATATTTGAAGGGGCTCTGTGGAGGAGTAGCATTGTCCAATTGCGATCTGGGGCTGTCATTGTACCGGGTATAAACTGGTACCGATGGCGATTGCGGTGCTGCCACACTACGAAATTCCGATTTCGGTGTTGTTTGCGGTTTGCTCGGGGCAGATGATGGCTGCATGGCATATGGTTGAGGCGTACTTGGCTGTGAAGGGATGGAAGACGTGTGCTGTTCTTGTTGTGGTTGTTGATAAATTGCGTATGCATTGTTATTGACATTCGCACTAGGGGATTGTTGATATTGATTAGTGTTGGCGGGAGCACTTACAGCCAACGGATTTTTAGAACCTTTAAATGTATAAATTTGGGAACTAATTATTATTATTATTTTTTTAAATTTAATAAAGGAAGACGCACGAATGAGAACTAAACAATGAATTAAAAATGTATTATATAACAAAATTAAGCCGTCACCATAAGATAGTTTTTAAGTTTCTAGAATTGCTGATGATGTTTTAAAACTTTTTGACGCAAAACGACTAAAATCTGTTTATAAGTAATCATAGAACTTAAAAAACAATTTCCGCCTGAGTAGCCGAAGGCGAGGAATCTCGACTAGCAAGTCAGTGGTCGTGGGTTCGAATCTCAAGTGCGGTAGAGTTTTTAATAAAAGCCGATAGCCTTAGATGCTATTGCTTTTAAGAGCTTAGTCTTAGAATTTATTTCTCTGGCGAAATTAATAATAATAATAATAATAAAACAATTTATTTTCAATTTCACAATATGAACATTTTCTGCTCATTATAATCTACACCACTTGTGATGTAAAAATATATATCCACAATCCACAGGAGGAACTGAAATAGACCGACCTTTTATTACACTGACGAACGGTATTGCAAACGATTCGGATCGGACCACTTTGTCGATTGCTTGCCATATAACAAAACATGTAAAAAACCGTTATTTGGACAACTGTGGTAAGCGAAGTGGTGTAGGGTACTAAAAGGTGGGCCGTGTTCCCAATATAATGAATATTTAAAAGCTGGATAAATGCTAAATAAATCAAATGATTCAAAGCTAATTGAAAATGTGGTTATCAAGGAATTTTGTAAAATCCCTAGGTACGTAAATAGCTATGTTTACGAAAGACTACCGTCAGTATATGAAAAAAGGGTTTAAAATTTAGTGCTTAAAAATCTTAACTCAATTAATTGCATTTGCAAAGCTATTTCAGTCGTTTTGCTTTGATATTTTAAGTTTAATATTAAGTTAAGCTCCCACATAGTATAATGGACTGAAATTATGAATAGAACCCAAGAACCAAATGAATCTTTTAGCAGATTAGTTTAAGCATGGCCAAGAGTCAAAACCAGCAATAAGCATAGATATGATGTCCAATATATTCCTTCTACATGCTTTCATCTCACCATCAGTATTATCATTGATATTCATCTGATCGCTATTACGCGTTTGGAGGCCATTGTTGCCAGCATTATAATCATTGTTGTTAATAACATCGTCGCCGGAATCGCGCATTGGACTTTTCGAATTTTCTTTAATGTACTCATCTTTCCAGAAATTATTCCTTTCTACAGGTGGCGGCACCTTCCGCAAACCGGCCATGGGATTGGGCGGTATTTTAATCTCTGGTCGAAAACCTATTGGAGGAGGCTCAAATTGTGTTTGTTGTGTTGGTGACTTGCGTGCTATATTCGGAGAATTAAATGAGCTTCCAAGGCTAGATGTCGCTAACAAATTGGAGGATGGTGGTGGTGGGGGAGGAGCCGGTGCATTGCCACCATTTATATTCTTACCAGCGGTTATACTCGGTGTTGCTTGAACAGGAGGCAACACCTGAAACGGCATACCCAAAGCGGCTGCCCCCATGCTAGCAGATGGACTGGCTGAACCAGGCGATTGCGGCTGTATAGGTCGATTTTGTTGCTGTGCGGAGATTACGCCTTCCGCTTGAGCATTCCGGGCCAAACGTTTAGCCATACGTTCAGATTTAATCTGAGATAAATCGATGCCACCCGGAGTGTAAGTGAAAGGTTTCTTATCTCTTGTCATCATTGCATTTTGAACACATGCAGGCGGCTCGTACGCTGACTGCACAGGCATGCGATGGGCGGATCCATACCTGGTATAGTATGGTAAATAAATAAAAGAGATAAAGATTTTATAATAACTAAACAAATCCACTAACTTAAGGAGGATTGTACTGAACTTCAGTAATCAAAAAAATACACAATTTTGCCACGATATCTTCATATTTATAAATTGAATGCTTAACAACTGTAGAAAGTATTCGCTTCAACCCCATTTTTGCACAACTCATCCATTAATACATAATTGTAAAGAGTATATTAAATGCGTACGTACGTAAAACCGGGAAGGCTTAAGAGAGGCCCACCTTTTATTATAGCGATCACTTTAGAATCATTTTTTTAAATTGATAGAAGCCTGCGCGTCCGTCTGTCTCCCTGACATCTGTTCCTGTATCATTTTGTTCAATATACAATTCGCAATTTTTGAGATATTTTAGTGTTTAGCATGTCGACGAATTTTGTTGCAAGAACGAGTAGTGTTGAAAACAGTTTGACACAAATTACATTTGCAATCACTTCCCACCAGACGCCGTATTTTGAAAAGTCGTTATGAGAACAAAAATTGTCGTTTTTAAAATTTCTAAGCTAAAATCATTGAGTAATGCCGTTTCGACGTTGTAGATGGATATGAAAAATTCAAATCGAATGGACTGACATATTGAAGCTTTCCCTATATAACCTTTCCTACGAAAAGTAAGCCCTTCTATGTGAAAATGGTCTCATTTTTAATATGAAATAGATCGTAATAGCAAATCATTTCTACCAAATCTGTGTCATATGCGTTTATGTTTTGTATTCCACCTTCGTACGGCAAAAAGATCTATTTTTTAATATTTTTTGATAAAGATTGGTTCGAAATAGTAACTTGACACAGGAATTAAGCGTGCCAAGTTTGGATTAAGTAATTGTATTTTTCAAACCTCACTATAAGATACCTCATGAAAGGTAAGATCCATACGGAGGGAAGATGAACATTATTAAGTTTAAATCAGGTCAACTGACATTTTAGGCCCTCTTCCATATGAGGGCTCCTATAAAAAGTATACCTTTAGATGGAAGCAAAATGTAATTTTTGCTACATTATCACAACAATTAATTGTAAATTGTACTAGGCGAGGTGGTGCAGGACATCCGAGGTTGGTTTTGCCCGACAAAAATAGTCTTAGTTGTTTTAAAAAAAAAGTTTCCTTTCTTTTGTGAACACAGTGGTACAAATAGCAGTATTGTCCACACACAACATATAAAATAAGATGAACGCTGCCTACAAGTGTGTAGCGCTTAGTATCTTTTAATGTTTCCATTGAACGAACGATGAAATGAAACTTAATATGAAATTAATGCTTAATTGTAACGACTACTGTTTGCAATGAAAGAAAAAAAAAGATAAATTAAAAAAATGTTCATACAATTTTACGCTTGCGCTTTCTCAAAGTCATCTCTCATGAGTGCGTTAACTTTGCCATTTCGTTTGAAACAAGCAGAAATAGATTTTTAATCGTTTCGTATCCGACAGTGTTCGTTTGTCTTCGGCCTTTTAAAGTTGTGTCAGTTTTCACTGAACGGACATACGGATGAAGTAAACATAAAAGCGAAGCGATCATGTGACTGCTTTCTATCTAAATTAGTTCATTAATCACTGGAAGGACTGAAATAGTTTTAACCCTAAACTACTGAAAAGTCTTAACAAGTTATCAAAAGTATTGCGCTTACGCGCTAATACCCCTTTTCTATTTATATTGACAAGTTATAGAAATTTAAAGATATATGTACTCTTCTCTCCTCAGCGTTCTTGAATGATTATGGGAAGTACTAAAGATTCGACCAAAGCCATGTCTTCCCTACTTTTCATTATCGTTATGGTTTTTGTTGTTGTTTAAAGATTGTCGCATTATTGTTTCTTCTTTTTATATTTTATGGGTGTGCCATTGCAGAATTATGCATTATGCTTTATGTTATTTGTACCGGTTTTTTAATGAATTGAGAAATGAAATATGTTTACAGCCATACATATTAGTGGAGAGAGTCTTTACTTTCTTTATGCTAAATTTACAACATTTTTCTCTGTGACATATTTCAACTTTGACAGACAATAAAATTGAAAGTTTTTAGGACAATATGCTAACTTGGTCAAGAAACAGTCCATATTCCCAAGTTTATTCTTAACGAAAAAAATGGCAATTCTCGCAATAGCGATGCCTTTTAGATTCTTGAGAAAACCAGAAAATGTTTAATTGCAAAAAAAAAACAATATTATTTTCAAATATTTGTCATAAAGCAGCAGTGGCTCGTGTTCGTTTATTTTGCCTATAAACGTAAAACAAATGAAAACCTGAAAAATTATAGAAATCCCATAATTGGCTAACGACCATATGTGAGAATAAGCATATGTTGCATGGCTAGGAAACACAATGTAAACAAGTTTAATTAAAAAAAGAAAACGAAAATTTTATTCAAATAATTTTTCATAACACTTCCGTTGTTTTCCATTTATTTATTTATTTATTCCTGTTCCTGAAAAAAAAAGAAAAAAATTGAATCCTCTTTTTAAATGCTTATCATCTTAAGACCTGAGTTAGGCTAAAAAATAAAGGTGACATCGCTGTTGGAATGTTGGACTTGGCCAAGGTGGTGAATTGACGTAAACTGTACTCAAACACTGTTGTGTTTCGGTCATCAACACTTGGAGTGTATTGGTTTTTCATCCGTTTTAAATGGTCAAAACCGTGCACGATATGTTAGTTATAAAAAGTATTGAGCTTTCATGAAATACTCTTTTCATTGATTGAATTCATACGCGTGTAAATTGACATTTAAGAGTAACTTTCATGCTTTTACTGAAATGTGTACTAACTGAGGCACCTGTTCGCGATACCACCTAAAAGCGAATTCTTGAGCCAATACTAGATGTTATTAACCCGTAAACCAAAAATACCAACGTATTCTCGTGGATAATCTTGGAAATTTGATGATAATTACATCAATAAGGCGTGAGTTCGTAAGGGATGCCGGTAAGAAAATCATTCAAATAAAATTTACTCAAGGTTGACGCAAAAGAAATGAAACATCTTTATTGAAATGGACAAAAGTAAAAAGAGAAGTCTGGAGTTTGCCACGATCAGGAGGAGAACGTGATATATACCAGTAATTTTGCATTTCTCTTTAAAACATTCACGCCAGCCACCGTCCACAAGAAGTTAAAAAATTCTTTTATTTCTTACATTATTTTGTGAACAATGCTGTCCTTGATCCTTAAGAAAAAATAGTTGTAAAAAAATATGCAAGATCGGCAACTGCTAAGCCAACGCATGTCTTTAAGTGAATTAAAATTGAAAGAAAAAGACAAAATTGCACTGTGTAGTGCTCTAATCTGTGTGCGTGCACATGTGGGTCTCTTTGCAACTATATATTGCATTTCATTTATAGCGGCAAAGCTTTGCATTAACCGACACCAAGACTAAAGTTGCGATAAAGACGCCAACATATCTGGATTCGTGGCGTTTGCTTAGCTCTTTGTCTATCTGATCAATTAAATGCAATTATTGTAAACATTCACTTCATTTGCAGTTGTCTAGCTTAGTATTTTTAGCGCAGAGAGTAAATTAAATACATCAAAATATTACATTTTTTACAATTTCATTTTCACGAAACTGGATTAGTTAGTCAAACCTACCGATAAAATGACGAAAAAACTTTGAGAGAACGCCTAAGGTACGGCAAATGTGAGAATCAAGCTCATTGAGGAAAAGTAGAATCACGCTATACATTAAGATGAGGTGACCAGATAAACGCTTTTTCTTAGGTCTGTACTTTTTTCAAGTTTCTCTTATTTGTTATTAAAAGCAAGAGATAGGAAACTGAGACGTACGACTGAAAACCTAAGCATGTGTTAAAAAATCCATCGGCTGACGTAGTTCTTTCGATCCATCGAGGCCATCTTAGTTAAAAATTGATCGGAATTTTACTTTGACTCTAAACTGACGTGGTAAGCCTTTAAACTTAAATTTTTTGATTACTTCGTATTGCATTTCTAAAAAATATATTTGTTTATTATTTATTTATTTGCACATGGAACTCAGCTAAACTAAATTATGAGCCGAGTTCAATTGACTCTTGAAAGCAAATATTATACTAATTCTTTTAAAAACTAATACAAAGTATATAAGAAGAAGTAAAGAAGGAGAAACAACAATGCCTTTATAAATAAGAAACAAAGAAGAAGGAAATAAGCATGTACACAACAGATGTACCCGCACGACCGGCATGGATCCCAATTGCAAGTGAATCCCTAAGTCACTGCAAAAATGCAAAAGCTTGACAACCTATAGCGCCAAAAAAAAACCAACTAATTTTCGAGTCATAGTGAGATGTTAGGATTGCACGTTAATTTAAACACGACATAGACAAACCGTGCGTATTAACACTAAACGTACCATGCGCGGTCAAATAACCGTTTTTAAAATTTTGTTTAAAATTTCTCGCATTCAACGTTATTATATCATCATGTAGCTTATTGACTTTTCGTAAAATACACATACATCGAAACGCGGGGATCGAGTTTTTATTGTAGCATCAGAAAAATATTTTGTTTACTATCCACTTAACTAAGATACATACGTTTTTTTGAAGCGGTCATTTGACTGCTCATGGTAGGATGAACGTACGTCGGTACGTTTAGTGTTAAGTATAGTTGTTTTGATGGAATTTAAAGAATCCGATATTGAGATTAAATAATAGACATCATTTAGGTGTCTGCAAATACCTTTGAACGGGTTGAACAGCTCACAATTGTATTTACATTGACTAAACTTAATGAAGAGAAAGTGCCCAGAGAAGCGGTTAGGAACATCAAAGCTTATCTCACTAAGTAATGTAGATTGGTCTAACTCAGCAAATGTATATCCATTTAGAAACATGAAAATCCTTAAGCTCCTTGGAGGACCTCCTAATGAAACCTAGCCTGGACCTAGTCTTATTTAAAGACAGCTCAATGTGCAAATTAAAACGTAATCTTTGGTGAATAGAACCCCTAGAT